AAAATCGTCTGTGAAAAAAAGATATGCTCCTAAAGTGCTTTGTCTCAATAGCGTTTCTTCACGATTTTAGAGTATTTCGCTGAAAATTGACGTAAAAAACTGGCCGACTTTTCGCCCACGGCATTGGATTGTGAAGTTGTTGAAGATGTGCGACAAAGTGATGATCCAAAGCATGGGTGAGTATAGTGTCAAAAACATTTTTTATGAAAGGAGACAGCTTTCTGGCTGCAAATGAGTCAAGTAGATTATAATCGCAGCAACCGTCTTGGACGATTGGTACGGTACAGAATGAACATTCGTTAAGTACTGACTTGTCTGATGCAAGTGCGAGTGACGGTCAAGAGGAAGCTAGGACGAAGTCTTCAGGTGACAAGCAGTCATGATACTTTGTTTGTGGCGTAAGTGTTTGCTTGACATGTAGACCGTGTAGATGTAGATATGATCAAATCAGTATGATCACTTCTACCTTTACGCTCTCTCAACCTAGCACAGTGAGGCTAGGCTGCGTTCACGACAACATTACAGACTCCTCCACACTTACGAACTATGATTTTTCTAAAAGGAGTATTTAAAATTGGCAAGGCTAAGTTTGTTCGCCCAATCAGAGAACAAGAACATATTTCTTTGCTGCCAGAATATGTAGAATTAGATTAAATTACCTGAATGGATCTGGTAAAGTTGATTGATATCTATCAAGTACGTAGAGATCTAGCGCTTTGTTGGTTGGCTGAAACGTTTGTACATGTGCTGGAGCGAGTTGCTACGCACTTCCACATTGACTGTTACACATTGGTATCTGTGGGAGACACAACCATTGCTCAGTATGCAAGTGTGTTGTCAGAGCTAATAACAGCTTTTTTGCATCGGGATGAGGCAAAGTATCTGATCGGCAATGGAAGATACACCCATGTAAACAAGATCGATACACTTCTACAGTTGGTGCTCAATCAATCCAGTTATAATTCTATTTCTTCAATAAGAGTTTTGTTCGTAGTGCATGAACTATGTAAGGTAAAAGATAGATTGACGACAAAGCTGCAGAAAGCTTCGAATGGAAATGTGTTGCTGATAATGCTTGACTCTGGTGAACTATTAGAATTTGTAACAAATACTAGGATGATGGCAAGTTCTACTATGTTTCATTCGGAGTACTTTTGTGCCGCCGACTGTTCATTTCACAGCGACTGGCAGCAGTCACTTAGCTTTATTGCGCAGCCATTGGATTGCTTTCGATTTCAAAATGGATGGAAAATTATGCTTGAAATCTTGAGCTGGATGTCCGATTTGGACCAACGTCATACGCTCCAAAAGGAACATTTAAAGGCTCCTCAGACGACAATGATCTCAAAAACTAAAGGGATGCCATTCCAACTGCTATTATTGTTTTTGCGGTGGAGCCACTTCCATCCAGAAATGGTTCGTGTCTGTTCCAAAAGATTCGGCCGACAGGTACAGCTTATTCCGCAAGAGCGTATAAGATGCGAGCTAGTAGAACTGCAGATGCAAGATGAGCAGATCTGGACTGGATTATATCCACCTATACAATCACCTACAAATGTTCAGCCGAAACAGGAGCATGCCGTATCTTCGCTGTTTCTCGACGCTTCTTCTTGTGCATGGCAACATGTCCCAAATCTTGCTCGATTGTCCCAGTGCAGTCTATGGAGTACGCAAAAGACATTCTACAAGAGTCAGGGAATTCGTGCATGGAGCTCTGGTAAAGTCCCATTCGGAGTATCAAGCAGCTCGTTCCTTGCTGCAGCGTATGCGCGCATTGCGGCCGACTTTTTGCTGAGCAATGCTGACAGTGTCAAGCCTTCTCTTAGGCCAAATGATGCTCCAAATTGCTTCGTGTGGGAGGCTGCAAGTGGATCGTGCAAGTTTTTGCACTCTTTCATGCTACATTTTACTGAGTTGGTAGAGAAACTTGTTGAATTTAAGCAGCGACAGCTTGTGCCGTTGGTAATTGCAACAGACTTAAGTGAGCAAATCCTGACTTCTCGTTCTCAAATGGAGTGTTTTCGTACCTATATTGAACGGGGTCAACTTGATTTTGCACTTTTCGATACTGATGAGTTCGTGCAGAGACGTTTTTGCGATTTTGAGAAGCGAAATACGTTAAAACTGATGCACTCGCAACGTCTTTGGCGAATAAGAAGTGAGGGTCCCGTAATATTGATCGGAAACTATTTTTTGGACTCGCTGCGTGCTGATGTTTATACAGTGGCCATCAAGCAAGATTGCTCCCCGGTAATTAGCACTGATGAAGTAGGGTACAATGTGGGCATTCATGATGACCGAATTGCGATACAAGCAGCACTTCTTGATGAAAAGACGTCAAATAGCGCCAACATGGACATTCATCTATGTCCCTTGAACGATGCACAAACACAAGCCATTTACAAAGATGACCGATTAAACGCAACATTCTTGAAGATACTGAAACAGTATCAGTCTTGCGAACATAAATCGAGTGGACTGATTCTTTTCCCAGTGGGAGCACTTGAATTTTTCTTATCATTGCTTGATCAAGATGTGGAAGCAGCAACATTCCCTGTTGCTATACTCGGCGGTGATGCACGTTTTTCTTTTCGGGACGCTATATCGAGTGCATATGTTGGGACTAAAACTGCTTACACTCCCAAAGGATTCAACGGAGTGTTGCGCTTGGTGCTGCCACAACTTTCTCCGACTCCAGACTGCTTCTGCCTTCCTATTGACTTTGAGATCTTGGACATCTTCTTCAAGTATCTTAATAGTAGCAATACAGGCGTTTCAGCAATTTCAAAATCGATTTCGGCCCCAGCTAGCGACACTTTCAGTGTCTTCTTTGCAATTATCGAGCAACAGAGCACAAAAAAAGATATTGACGTTCGAGACGCCAAATTCAAAGCCCTACATCTGAGTTTCAGAGACCAGTTTGCACGCTTCACTCCAGGAGACTGTGATTTGATGTGGGGTATGATGAGTTTTGATAACGGTGCACGCTACTTTTCCGTAAGCACACTCGTTGGTCTGCTGGCGGAATGTGGTTGGGACTTCGACTTGTTTGCAATCTTGCAGTGGGAATTGTTAAAGCGAATGACGGGAAAAGAAAATCACGAGTTAGTAGACTATCAGAGCGTTCTCATTGATGCAGGCATGAAATCTTGGCGAACCTTTTACCACATGGAGCAACAAACCGAAATGGACGGAATTGTCAGAATCGCTCGTCTACAATTAGCTCGTTGGTTTTACGGTGTGCTTTGGAATCATTTGATTTATGGGCTGCACTCATTATTCATTATGCCAATTGCTCAGTTTTAAAAGCGTACGATAAAGTGCTGGAGTTACTGGGACCCTGGCTCGCCTTAGCTCCCATGTCCACAAGCGCAAACGATATGAGTGTCTTTTATCTTTTAGGGGTAAGCGCTGCTGAGTATAAGTCTAGTTTTTTCTCACTGATTTTCAAACATTTTAGCTAACCAGCTTGCAGATGGACAAGTACTGGAGCGCACTTTCGTTTTTTCAGCTTTGTGCTCGTTTTGCTCCAACCAAAGAGAAGTTTAAACGCCGCATTGCTAGCACAGTGCTTCATTGTCAAACATATACTACTGTGTTATAGCTCCAATAATGTATCCACGTCGCCAACTCTAATCAACTTAAACAAAACAAAATTTTCCTCTGAGTGAACATGGATGTCAACATCCTATTGAAAAAAGTACAATGAATGTCAAATTCCCATGATACATCTCACAAGATGTAAGCATCAGTATCCTCAATCAGGTTAAACAGCTGTTAATGTGTTGTGATAAGCATGACGACAATTTTATAGTCATATTTTTGGTAAGGAGGCCAAGATGATACCCGACAATAACTGTTATCGCCTTGACCCGAATGTTCCACCTACAGCTAAAAATATTCAACTAAGACGTTCATTGAAGACGAGTTTTTCTATGGCACCTTTCTACTGGATTAGTTACGTACTCCGTGCCCGCTCATTACGGCCTAAAATCTTTTGACACCGCGTAGGAGACTTCAGGACGACATCGAGCACATAAGAGGAGAGCCGAATTGAATTCCAGCTTGCCCGTCTGCACGCGCAAGACTCGCAACGACTTTTGAAGATCTCATCACTCCATGTTTCTGGATCCAGTTCGTTTGATGTTGCTCGCTACGTCGGAGGAGAGCTTTTACTCGCATGTTTATGCGAGTCTTACACTCCAATGATTGTAGAACAATTTCTCTATCACAGTCAAAGATCTGGTCATTGGCCGCATGACGGTTAAACAAAGTCTGTTATTGTGTTGCAGACTGTAACTCGCTGGTATCAACTCATCAAACTGTACGAACAGCCGTTTTTTCGACGTACGAAGCCACTTGCCACTAGTGGCGGTGTCCAGAGGAACACGGACGAACTATGTCGAGAAAAGGAAATTAAATTGAAGGACACACAAAACATTAATCAGTTTGCGAATATGATTTATATCACAGATTTTACTACCAACGTTACCAGCCAAAGTGTTGCTAGATAATATCTCTACTCAACATCGCTTTGCCTGGGTAAATTGTCTCTGAATGATACTGACCTTTATAGCAACGGTTGAAAAACTTTGTTCAAAGTGCTCAACACTAAATTGCATATGTTTACAATGGACCATCCACAGACCAACTATCGGAATGAAAACGTTAAATCCGCACTGGCAAGATTTTCAAGGAAAGTATGGGCGATGCATCGCGGCACTGGAGCAACGTATTCCTAATTTTTGAGCTTGCTTGGAAATTTTTTTAAGGCTTCACACCAGTTGTAACCGATGGTCTAACAAGTCACTGCTTCTCGCTGACGCTTCGCAAAGTAATATCGGTCTTGGTGGCGAAGAAGATGGAGACTTTTTGATTTTGTGGTACCAAATCAGCGAACTTTTGTATCAATGGCGATGATTTTATAGCATAAGTGTCGTGTGCCAAGTGCGCGACGCTTTAGCGTGAAGTCATGGTAGCAAAAACTCGCTTGTAGATGCTAAACAACTTTATTGCGAGTTAACGGAAAAGAAAAAAAAATCAAGCAAACACATGCACTGTCTACAGTCGTAAGACGAAATCGCGCCTACGCTATATGGCTAGCTAAAAGGAATCGAGTTATACTGCAATTTGCCAAAAGAAATGCGAGCTCATTATCATTCAGATACAGCTGTCATGGGCTACCCAGATGCGAATTTTATTGTTGGTTACGTAATAAGTCAACATGCCTTAATTAGGTAAATTCTGCTCCACAGTAGCAATTCGACTTTAAACTCCATGGAAATCCTCGAGCCCCGCGGTCGTCTTCACCTATCGCATAGACAGGGCAGGTGTACCGAACAGATGCGTGGTCAGTCTCTGAAACAGTCAGACCCTGAGTGGATGCGTCTGTTACTGAGAGGGGTGTTTATGGAACTGATCAAAAGGCAAAAAGAACTCCTTTGACACGCTGGTGATGGCTGTGATCGAGATTACGAATGCCCAGAAAATTGACGGTACATCAAGCTTAATTGTAAAAATTTAAAGCCGAGGAAACCGGAACAAACTTCGATTAAAAATTGCTGCTCTACGGAATTTAATTGGTTCGGAGAAAATGCAGATGAACAAGCAGTGAATCAAGGTAAGAAGATAATTTTGGCTGCCATCAACGAGGCATCATGTAACACGGATTACTTTTGAAGGATATAGCAATTTTGCGGACCACATTGTGATTAATTCAATTTTCAGAAATTCAGGAAGCTCGTCCATAAAAGTTTGCCGGCGCCGTTGTCACCAACTGAATTTCTTCAGAAGGCAGCAAAGACGGCAATTCTTAGCTGTTCCTTTGAATTCAGGACGCTCTACACAGAAAAGGGATCATCCCCATGGACGCACAAGTGATTACTTCAATCAAACTAGTCTTTTTCGCGCCGGCTTGAAATAGGCGCCTAGTTGAAATTGAGCCGCATCGTAGGAGTGGATAACTGACCAGAGACGTCATCTTAGCCAATATAGACTCTCACATCAAATTGTTCAAAAAGGACGTGAGGCGAAGTGTGGGGCCACGGTGTAAGTCAGAGCAGTAATGAGTTCTGGCGACATCGACCCTTTTCGAAGACAAAGGATTCAAAGCGTTTCGGTCATGACAAGAATCAGTTAGAGACGCTGCGCCGCATAGTCAGATACAGATGGTCTCAGCTGCAATTGATGATATCGATGCTGTCGGGGTGGTGAGGCTACTTTAAATTTGGCCGATTTGCCATGCCGCGGCTACTTAATACAAACTTTTTTTCTGGTGGAAGTTCATGTTATATTAAAACTGAGGAAAAATCTACCAAGCAGCTGCAAATTGATATCTTTCCGCTTCCAGGTTGCTGTATTAGTGATTTTGATCTTGTTAGTCATCCTATGAGCGAAATGTGCACCCTCACCTCATATAACATGCAGCAAACTTTGATGTTTAGCCACCGCTGTTTATATCCAACTGCGGTTCAATAGTACTGAAATTCTGGTTTTAACCTAGACAGATAAGAAAATTGGTCTCAGGATCATATCATATTAGTGACATAGAGGATGACTTAGATATGTACAGTACACGTCTATTCAGTCTCAATAAACGAAAAACTGGGTCAAGTGTGGAGAGAGTCGGGTGTTCGGCAGCTCGATGCTCTGCCTCCTCGTCCTCAGCATAGCCGAGATCCATCGGTTCAGGCCAGCTTGACGAGCTGTTAGAGTGTGCATTTCAACCAAGTCGTGACGACTTACAATTGAATTCGACATTCATTGCCACATTCACCGCTTCTTCGAAAGAAAACAATTGCACAAGGAAGACTTCTATCCTGGCCACGCCAGTGTGGAGGCCTCCATACAGACGGTCATGTGACCGCCTTTAGAAGTGGATCGTCTGCCATACCGAGATTGAGAGTACGCAATTCTTGGACAAAGTTTACCAACTCCTTCTTGCCCTGTCGGCGGCAAGTAAACGCGATCGCACGCGATATGCCTGGTTAGGCGGCGAGAACACCAGTAAAGCTGCAGCTTCAGCTCCGTCCAAGACGGAAACGCCGGTTCCACCGAAGTGCCGCACGTCAGTGTCCATTCTCACATCGTGTCATTGTGAACGATGACTTTGAGGGCGGCGGAGGGGAAGAGTGCGTTTATGTCAAGTGATCACTGGAAGGTTTAATCCTGTTGGACTATAGGTGGATGACATGATTGTAGCAGCAAGAAAAAGCAAGGAGATGAATCATGTCAAGGAACTGGTCAGAATTACAGTCAAGATGAAGGAGTTGGGCAAGACAGAAATCATTTTGGGTATGAAGATTGATCACGATATATCAGCTTAATCACTTACGACCGAACAGACTTGCTATAATATGATGATTCGTTCAACCAAAACTCAAGGGTATCGACAGTCCGTGCGCATCAAGATTAAAATTGTCGTTAGTGCACTCATCAACAACAGAAACTCGATTTGCGATGCGATTAAAACCAAATCAAGCCTTGGATGAATGCGTGCTGTACATAACTACATGCACTTGACCGAATGTTGAACACGTATATATGTCACGAGAACCCAAGACTGCAGCATTGGAATTTAATTATTCTCGTGCTACCCTACCTGAAGAATACACGCTCAAACGGTATGTTCTACCAAGACCTGGGTACATTTGTAGATTAGCCATATTTAAATGCTGATTGGGGTAGCAACATTGATGATAGACGTTCGGTCTCAGGAGTTATGATCATGATTGCAGCCGCCAGTGGTGTTTAAGGTAAAGTACCAGAAACCATAGCACCCCGCTTAGTTGAAGCTGAGTACCGGGCTCTCAGTCATTGCGCTCGAATAGTTCGTTGGACGCTTGCGATGCTAAGGACATGGGCCTCGAGCAAGTCCAAGGCATCCAAGCTTCGGAAGCCAACCAAAGAGCAATCGCTTTGCCAACAAAGCCGGACAAGCATGGGGACATAAGGCACCGCACATTCGCGAGAATGTGAGAGAAGGACTTTTGAAGATCGACTGTATCGACACGAAGCGTCAGCTTACATACAAGCTGACAAAGGAATCCGAAACGAAGATGTTTGGTTTTATACGAAAGGCAGCAAGCAGATTTTAAGACCAAGTCAATGCTAAGGATCAACAAATATTAGCGGCAGGTGGAAGTGTTATGATGACAGCTCTCAATACTGTTGGAGAATGATGTTGTGGGTATATGTCTAATTTATATTCAGGATTATTACGTTTTGTTCGATAAAAACCAAACTCAGTCTAGGCTAGTAGTTAAGGTGTGCTTGCTCCATTTTCATAATTGAGGGTTCGATTTTCTTAACCTGGTGTGCCTAGCAAATACCAACGCCGTTCTTATTTTTGATAGTTTTATAGACCAGATTGCGCCAGCGGGTGATAATTCTCAGCAGTGTCCTCGAATATGATCTGGACTTTTTGATTGTGGGAAAATACGAAGGGCATAATATTGACATAATTGGATGAAAAGATGATTAAAGAACCAAGAAGCTAAAATGAGCTAAGCTCCATTAAAGACGTCGTTTGGACCACATACTTTGTTTGTCTAAGTTTAACTGTACACCCTGCATACTTATACATCACCTTTCAGTTTTGTTGTATCAGAATAGGAGGTACTTTCAGGTAAGGAAGGTTAAAAAACTATTGGCTATAATATTAGATTTCATCTCACCTTCTTTCTCTTTACATAAGTCAACGGTCCTCTGGAAGCAAGCAAATCGCAGTGAGATGTGTCAATTGACCTCAGCCTTTCTCGGTAAGTGTGTGCCCACGGATAAGAAATTCCCTTTACACTTGGTAGCACTAGTAGAATAGTGGTTATTCCAACGCCGACTTTTTCGCTGGATTTATCGATTGATAATATGGAAACCACAGGTAGTGGTCGTCCATGGATCAACTGGGAAGGATGATCGCTTTTAACACACTTGTAATGGGTGTGCAAGCTTTGAATCGGAGATTACGTGGTCTCCGATATGTTCCTATTGGATCAAGATACGATGACTCAGCGCTATGTAATTCTCGCTGCGTATGAGCAAGGATTATTGGGAACTCTATCGCAGAACATATCGACACCAGTTCCGTCACCTCCACAAGTGGTCGTGACACCGTTGATATACACGGGACGCCCCGAGAAAGTAAACGTGAAAAGCTGTAACGGGAACAAAAACTTACAATTTCGCGTTCTGGTGACAAGAAATTGGCATCGCTACCCCGACGGCTCAAATTTGTGATAACTTTAGTCAAGTGGCTTTGCCATGTCGCATCTGAATGGCCGTGCAAAGAATTGAGCAAAAACATTGGAACTCAATTATCCTAGTTTCTTTGCCACATGGCAAGAAATTATCAAGGCCATGGAATCGATGTTCCTTCTACCTTGGCACAACGGTCGAATTTTCTGTCATGCCGTCAAGGCAATAGCACATTGTACGACTATGTACAGAAGATTCCGTGAGCTTCGTGCCATTGTGGCAAGAGAATCACTACTAGAGGCAATACAGGTCGCTGTGTTCATGGAGGGACATGCAACCATGATTGCATCTACTATCCATGTGGTCAATTGGTCAATCCGAAGCAGTGACTTCTGATACCAGAAATCTGAAACCAAGAGATCTTACTAACTTTACGTAGGCAGCAAGTTTGCTGTTAACAAATGGATGTCAACAATTCGGTCATCCGCCGTGATTGTCTACGTGGGGGACAAATCTCTCAATACGGTTCTCGTCGGATTGTCTCGAGTCACGCGATACCAATACCACGAGGCTTTCGGGAAACGTCGGAGCCCTCAAGATACAGGGTGGTCTACTGGGGCAGTTATAAAATCTTGTACCGCGACGAAGATTATGGTTGACCTTCAACAGAAGCTTGAAGACTTGACCTCGAAGAAAAAATCGCAGTACTCCAGATGGACAAACGGTTTGACGTGATTTTGGGTCTACCTTGACTTAAGAAGCATGTGTCATGAATCAATTATCGATTGAATCGATTGGAAGTAGCTCCCCTAGCAAAGATGAAAATTTTGGAGTGATAAACCAACATTCTCTATGCACCAAAAGAAGTGCTCAAGCGCTCGGTAGCCGTATGCTGCTGGAAAGGATCCGAACTTCATTGGTATATGTCATGCCTCAGGTTAAAAAAGTTTCAGAGTCGTATGGCATCCGCCAGAAACATATGTCCTTACGAATGGGGCTGGTTGCTTGAATTTGATGGGTGAGTAATAGCATGTTGAGCTAATTCATCCCGTCCCTGGAGGAGTTGTACCGTACGTAGGTAAAAGACAGCTATTTTAGGTAATGATTACTGTTGTCTAGTAGCCTGAGCAATGGCCGGCTACGGTTACTCGTCAAGGCTATTATTGATTTCTTGTAAAAAGTATATCCTCTCATCACACCCAATTATCCGGAATGATAAATGACGTCAATAAGCTCCAATGAGAGAATAGGGTGCTCAAGATTGCAAGCCCTGATCCTTGCCGGAGTAGGCATTAGCTTTAAAAGCATGTACGCTGGCACTACTCACAGGAACTTTGCTGGCGTAGGCACCTTAGAACTAGTACTACTGCCTGAGGCGCTGGTGTTACGGACGCCACGAGCGTGTGGCCCTTGTGATATAGTTAAAGGCGGCACGACGCCCTTCATAGAAAGAAGCTTTTTTTTAGCTCGCTAAACGAGGATGAAGACTTCAATGAAAAAAGATGAAAGCCAGTCGGTGGAGGTAAAGAATCAGATTTTAATGCAAAACTCTCCTATTGTTCAGAGAGGAAATTTATGGAGCATTCTTTGTGCTGGATGCTACCGAGTACTGGGCACAAACGTTGGTGCCCTTGGCGGGGCTTATAGACAACGACACCGCTGGCCTCCGCCATTATGCTCGCCAGGAGAGATGCGGTCGATCATCCTACGGAGAAGTTGCGCTTCGTTGCCCTCTACACGAGGTACAAACGTTTTGCCCATTTTTCGAGGCAGAAAGAGCTGAATTAGCGCAGAGTTCGCGACGATATTTGGGGTTATCAACGAGCTGAACTTGGCTCAAAAAGCCAGGTTTGTACTACGGTAAGTGCAATAGCCACGCCGATGTCCAAAACACCATGCCGATATTACGGTTTCAAACCGTCTGAAATCGCTCTACCGCTGACGTGAGACCGTACACGCCTATGTCTGCTGGCTTTTTGCACGCATCAAAAGAGGAGGTTGAGAAGGTGCTCCACGATCGCCATCAGGTCACAACTCTCCAAAACAACCGCGTGCTTCAAAATAGAAGCGATCGAAAAAGATCGTACCCTTTTTAAAATATATACCTGAAGTTCTTGGCGATAGCAAAAGGACCGATGAGTATCAAGCTCAATCTGCGCACTGGGCGAGGAAAACACGAAATCTTATCCGTAATGAGGTCTTACAAGTTGGCTTCCGTCAAAGCGAGCGTTAGTTTGAAGCGTCGTCTCCATCTTGATTTGCAAAGCGCAAAACACAACCCAGACGTCAAAGTAACAAGCCAAAATCTCCCGCCCATTAGAAAGTTGTAACATTTACGGATCGAGGGGCTTCCTTACAACAAGGTCCGTTGCCACCCCACTTATGCGACGGACGATCCACACATTTATTCAAGGAAGACAAGACCGAGGGTGTGCCAGGTCGTGAGCGGCCACAGTGCGCCGGCGCAATATTGCCAAAGTAGATCTCAAGACCCACACGTCTTTTCCAAGTGAGGATATTCCATTCAGTTCACTAAATGCTAATATTAGCTCTGGTGTACCCGCCGGGCCACTTAACCTTTTGCAAGATTTTTTTACTCCTTGCTCTTCTAGCAATGATGATGAAAATCAGGCATCGTGTGTCTGGCTCTCGTGGTTGTGGCACACGTGAACTCATCAAGAGTATCGGCGTGCATCCGAAGCTAATATGAGCCAGATTTCAGATTCTCTCTTTGCATTCCGCCAGTGCACTGCCTGGATTGTGGCACACACAGCAGTTCAAAACCACGCCGCTGCTGTATAGAGAGGGTAGCCCAGCTATAGACGTTTGAAGACGCTACTTTGTCCGTGCCAGTTTTCTTCACGTCTGAATGACCCATTAGCGTGAGTTCGCGGAATGGGCTCAGTAACCTCATGTAGAGCGATATGTCTTTGCATTCTCGTTGCGACTTTACGATTGTATTTCACCCCCTTCTTCGCTAGGACCGTAAATTCTTCAATTGTATTGCGGTCACAAATTGTTCTCATTGACCACATGTACTGCATAAAACAGAAGACTTGCGACATTCATGAAATTCTTTCGCCTCAAACCATGTTCGTGTGTGTTTTGCCTGCCTCTGGCATCGGCGTGCTGTACTGGCTCTCAGCCATATCGTCCCACACCCTGCGCAATACGCTCAGTTCTATGATCCTGATACGGAGCATAGCTGAACTGCTACCAGCAAGTCGAACTTGACCGACAACATATCTCGCTAACATTGAAGACCTTTCATGGCGGTGTCAAAGGCTCCCAAAATATATATTAGATAGGCAAAGTCTTTCATGGAATGTACTGAGTTAAACAAGACAAATATGATACGTGGGGCGCTTCAGCGATCTCTCTGCACAAGTGTTTAAAAGTTATTTTCCACAGTAAAATCCACGCGTTCCTTCTAGCCTCTTGTCTGCGAATGATCAGCAGCTGACATATCAATCTAATGACGAGCACCGCAGGCAATGTATGCCAAATCTTCGCTTGAATCCATCCGATACAAAGGCTATCGGTGTAGAAAATCTATGTTGAAGAACAGCTGGGTGCGACCCCACCAGTCAATTTTCTTACTAGCAGCGAGATGACCCAGCTTGTTCAGACTATCCACAAAGACCACAATACCTGTGTTACCGGACGAATCGTATATGCTAGAATCAGCAGGCTGACCAAAGGTGAGACCGCAGGCAGCAAGTTATTTTACCCGCTACCTCTAACAACCCGCGAGCCTTTTTGTGCTGACTCATACATACATGTTGAGTCACCGACTCATAGCGCTTACCGAGATAATTTACGTTTATGTAGCGGCCATATGATGGGCCTCGTACAGTATTCCGTACTCCGTATCGTATGGCACAGCTACACGCTGAATTTTTGTGCCGTTCAGTTCTGCAGCAAAGCAAACCTAAGAAAAGGCATGGTAGTTCACGCGCTTTGATAACCTGAGCTCTCAAACTTCTTCCTCTCCAAATCTTTCAGCGGTGAACCACATGTTGCGCCGACCCGTATGATGTGTGTATTGCCTTGTCAATTGGCGATGCCGACATTGTGACATGCTACAATTCATACTAGAGGTGACGCGAAAGCGCGTTCATCATCACGTTTAGCAAATCCAGCTCAATTATCTACCAAAAGGTACGCTTGTCAAAGAAAAATAACTACCTTGCTTAATCTGTATGCGATGAGCGGACGGCTTCGTCTCGTGCAGCAACACAATGTCTGAATAGATTACAAAGGAGATACACCCCCAATTTAACAAGAAAATACTTCATTGCGAGTGGTTAACGAGGTTCCTCTCGCAGCTGCATTATGCTGGACTCAAAAGCGATTATGCGTAGAGGCCGCTTGAAGTACGGCGTTGCATATTGCAAATGCCAAAGCATCACAGCCGACGTGGAGTTTCCAATATAAATTTTGAAGAGCCAAAATCAGGTCATTCTTTCACAGCTTTGACGTCTGCCTCTTCTGTCGCATCCCAATACCATTTGACGCCATTTACAGGAGAATTGATGAAAGGTCGTGCCATGTCGGATCATTTGCACTGTGCTTGCGCAAATAGTTGGTGGGGTCAAGCTAATTCTCATGTCGCCTTTAGATAAACACTGGAAAATCTGCAAAGGCCTTCATTCTTCCAGTATCTGGCTGTAGGCTAGGCTTCTCAATGAAGCAGCCCAAATGTAGGGTTTGAAGCAAATCGAATAAAC